ATTTTCCGATTCCTTAACACCATTTTGCATCTTGAGGATGCAATAGAATAACTATAAGGAAGGGTACACTGATGCAGTTGAGGTCATGACGAAGCAAGTTGAAGGCATGAGAAAGCAACACTCGAACATGGACTTCAATTTTTTGTTGAATCAATAGAGTGATTCTCACATTGACTTTTATGAAACTGTAAAGGAAAGGAATGAAACCTGAAAAAAAAATAGGTCTCTCTCTATTAACTTCTTGACTTCTGTTCATATTTTTGTGGTTTACCTTTAACTTATGCCTCAATCTTACTCGTGTCGTCGGTGACTCTAGCCATGAGTTGATGTCATCAACCTTCGAGAACTTGAGCTTGAGGACAACTATCAACTCCTTTGCTTTGCTTTGCTCACCCTGATATTGCGACTCTTTTTCTCATCCTCGATCCCAGATATAGCAACCCATAGGTCCTCCACTCTCCCTTGAAAGGTATTTCTATTGTTCAACATGCTTGGAATCTTTTGCTCGAATCTTTTGCAGGTCCTCTGTCTCCTCAAGATGGTATGTGCCATCAATGTGTGGGCCAGGTACTCAATACTCCAGCCTTCTATCATCGAGTCAATTTTTTGCCAGGTTTCTTCAACCTTTGCAGTCGCTCATTTCTGATAGACATTCTTGCCTTTTTCTCCTTAGAATGCTCTTCTAAGTCGGGTGGTGTTGTTCTTTTACTCGATTGTCGCTGTACAAGATCTTCATCCGTGCCAGGCAGTTGAGGATGAGGTTCTTGCCCTTGAGATTAAAATTAGAAATTTGTTTAAAAAAAAAAAAAGACGAACAGATTAGTTAGTTAAAAATTAAAATATATTATTTCGCTATTTGTAAGAAGAAAACACATGGGAGAAAGATAAAAAAAATGATTGGAAATGAGCTCTATATGCCTAATTGTTACCCTCATCTGCTAATCTTGACGTGTCTGAATGATGGTTGTTATAGAGGAATCATCATCAAGGGCTTGGGCTTGTTGTTCAGCTTTTGGTTCAAGATTATCATTCACCAAGAATTTTTTGCCTAGAAAAAGAAAACGGTGCACAAGGAGAACTGATTATGAGATGTACTATTGCAAGTCTAAGTCATAACAAAGCACAAAGGACCCTAATATTACCACCAGCTTCAGCCGCTTGGTATTCGGCATTCAAAGTACCTCCTGCTCCATGCCATCTAAACGCTTCAAGCTTCGAATACCAAGGTTCACAAGAAACTAGCTCAGGAGTCATTTCCATTTTTTCTATGAATGGTATAAGATCCGAGTCCAAATAAGAATATTTATTCTTGGTTATGTC